CATAACTTGAGTTCTACAAATGATATCAAGGACTTCTAGGAATTTTTATAAAGTTAATATCATGAGGGAATAACTTTCATGTTCATAAAAATTTGAGGAGAAACATTATTCTAGGTCAAAAGTGCCTTGGAAATGAGTTGACTTTTGTTGACTGAAAAATATGTTCATCTGAGACCTATAACTTGATGGCATCATAACTTGAGTTCCACAAACCCAATGGATTAGTTCTAGTACTAAAAAAAAAGATTAGATCATGACCTACAAGTCTCATGTTTACATGAAAATGAGATTGAACTTGTATCTTGAGGTAAATGGTCCTTGAAGTTGGATACTAAAGAATGGGATTTTACACTGAAATCCTTTTAAACCCTAATTTAGTAACTTCTTGAACTCTTGATTATCCTTGATTTGAACTTGAGATGACATCCTAGATGTCTCGACATGACTTCCCATGACTCCAATGACTTAAAACCAAGTCTCCAACTCCTTCAAGCTCACAGCTGACTTTGAGTTAAGCAGATGAAAACCTAGGTGCACAACCTTTGACTGCAACCTCTTGCAAGTGAAATGAATGCCTAGACAAACTTCACAATGACTTCAAAAGCACTCACTGATATTATCAAACACCTCTTATTCATAACCATGGTCTTGTGAACCCCTGATGATCCTCAATTGCCCTCCAAGATAAGAGGTAAGCAACACTTGTCAATCTTCTCTCTCAGAGAGCTTTGACCACTTATTGATGATTGTAAACATTAGATAACTTGAATAAGCACTCCTGGTTGAGCTTGAAACCCTTGATAACTTCTCTTGAATGGCACAACTCCCTTGGTCCCCTGAAAAGGACAATGATATGCAATGCAAATGCTAAAGAAAGAAATGAAACATAAGCCAAGTAGAGAAAAAGGTTGGGCAACTTTTGGGGTACAATAGGAAGGATGGCAAGAAAGCTTGCATTAATGATGTGTTATATGTACCAAGGATGAAGAGCAACCTAATCAGTATTGGCCAATTATTACAAAAGGGGTACACTATGAAGATGGAAGCACAAGCTATGAAGGTCTTTGATAACAAGAATAAATTGATTATTAAAGCTTCATTGTCAAAGCAAAGAACCTTCTGAATCAACATCAATATGATTGAAGACCAGTGTTTTTTGTCTGAAACTAAGGATGAAGACTGGCTATGACATCAAAGATATGGGCATATCAATTTTAGGAACTTGAATATGCTTCATGAAAAGAAGATGGTGCAAGGCTTACCAAAATTAAAGTTTCCTGAAGAATTATGTGATATATGTTGCACTGGAAAACAAGCCAAAAATTCATACAATGCAGAGGTATTATTCAATGCAACCAGAAAACTAGAGGTAATTCACTATGATGTATGTGGACCTTTTGAAGTAAGGTCAGTAGGGGAAATAGCTACTTTGTAACATTCATAGATGAATTCACTAAGAAATTATGGATTTACTTGTTAGCTAAGAAAAGTGAAATGTTGGGTGTGTTTAAGAAGTTTAGACTGCTAGTTCAAAATGAAAGTGGTAAAGTAATTAACAGGTTGAGAACTGGTGGAGGAGGTGAGTACACCTCCGCTGAGTTTCATGAATTTTGCTCATCAAATGGCATAAGTTATGAAGTCACTACACCATACACACCTCAACACAATGAGATCTCAGAAAGGAAGAACATAACTTTGGTAAATATGATAAGAAGTATGCTGAAGCAAAAGAAGATGCCTCATTACTTATGGGGTGAAGCAGTTGCTACTGCATCGCATCTCATAAATAGAAGTCCCACAAAGAAGTTGCAAGACAAGACACCAGAAGAAGCATGGAGTGGAATTAAATCAAGTGTTCAACATTTAAAGATCTTTGGCTCATTGTGTTTCAGACATTTATCTGATTATGGTTGGTTATCACCAAACTGGTGCATACAAACTGTATGATCCAAGTAATAAGAAAATAGTGTTCAGTAAAGATGTAAAGTTTGATGAATCAAAAGGTTGGAACTGGAAAGAAAAGGCATCATATAAGTGTGAAGGCCACTTACACCTATCTGACTCAGAGACAGAAGAAGTTGAGACTGAGGAACAAGAAGAAAATATTGAAAATACAACTGAATGAGGTGCAGAAGTGGCCAATAGGCCAATAAGGAATACTCAACCACCAACCAGGTTGAGGGATTATGAGAGGATCCTTGATCAAGCAGTTACAGATGAAGGTGACATAGTGCAACTAGCAATGCTTGCTGAAACTGAACCAGTATCTTTTGAAGAAGCTCTTAAATAAAAACACTGGAAAAAAGCAATGATTGAAGAACTAGACTCTATAGAGAAGAATGAAACATGGAGATTAGTTCAACTACTTGCTAACAAGAAGTGTATTGATGTTAAGTGGGTTTTCAAAACAAAACATGGAGACTAGTAGCAAGGGACTTCCTACAGAGGTATGGACATGATTACTATGAAGTCTATGCTCCAGTAGCAAGAATGGAAACAATCAAATTGATTATGGAAATAGCAGTCAAGAACAATTGGTCTATGTACCAGCTAGATGTAAAATCAGCTTTCCTCAACAGTGAGTTAGAAGAAGAAGTGTATGTGAACCAGCCACCGGGATTTGAGATAGAAGGAAAGGAAGAACATGTCTATAAGATAAATAAAGCATTGAATAGGCTGAAGCAAGCCCCAAGGGCTTGGAACAAAAAGATAGACAGTTTTCTTGTTCAACAAGGTTTCATGAAGTGTGTAAATGAACATGGAATTTATTGTGCCTGTATGTAGATGACATGATAGTTACTGGAAACAATGAAGCTGAGATGAATGACTTTAAGAGAAATATGATGAAGATGTTGGAGATGTCTGATTTAGGCAGCCTCACATATTTCCTGGGAGTTTGAAAGGAATACACAAGGAATGGTGATTCATCAAAGGAAGTATGCTCAAGATATGCTGAAAATGTTTAACATGATGAACTGCAAGCCAACTTCAACTCCTGTTGATACAGGAGTAAAATTATCCCTGGTAAATGATGAAGAAGAAGTAAATCCTACATTGTTCAAACAGCTCGTGGGCTCCTTGAGATATTTGTGCCATACAAGACCTGATATTACCTATGGTGTAGGGTTGATCAGTAGATACATGGTGAAACCTACCACCTCACACTTAGTTGCAGCTAAGAGAATCCTGAGATATGTGAAGGGTACACACAGGTATGGGATTCAATACTGTAAGGGTCAAGATGGTGAATTAATAGGTTACTCAGATTCGGATTGGAGTGGTGATAAAGATGACAGAAAAAGCATAGCAGCCTATGTGTTCATGATTGGATGTGCAGTTTTTGCATGGAGCTCTGAAAAGAAACTAGTGGTTGCTTTACCCTCTTGAGAAGCTGAGTACATTGCAGCTTCCATGGCAGCTTGTCAAGCTCAGTGGATAAACATGTTGCTGATGGAATTGAAGCTAGTAAAGAATGAAAAGATGGAAATTAGAATTGACAGCAAGTCATCCATAGACTTGGCAAAACATCATGTAGCACATGGTAGGAGCAAACATATCGAAACAAAGTTTTATTTCTTAAGAGAACAGGTGAACAATGGAAGGTTGGAAGTGAAATACTGCAAGACAGATGAGTAGCTAACCGACTTGCTCAGAAAGCCTGCGAAGACAAGCAACTTTGATCACTTGAAGATGAAGCTTGGCATGATCGAAGCATCAAACTAATTGAATTAAGGAGGTGTTTTGGTTTTATGTAATTCAGTTAGTTAGTTAGGATCTCTGTTATATAAGCATTATGCTTATGGTCTTGTAAAGAAATGCAGAAAGTGTGAAATCAAAACAGAAACAGAATACATTTTCTTCTCCTCATCTTTTCTTATCAAGCATCAATAAAAATTCTAATACAAAACTTTCAACAAACAATTTGTGACATTTTTATCATCATTATTCCATCAAATAAAATGCGTCAGAAGATACATTCTAGATTTCAAATTTTAATTTTTATTAAACTACAAGAATAATTAACATGGAAAAAACAATTCTCGAAATTTATCAATGGCACACTAAACCCTTATAAGGCCTAACCTAATTTATCTATTCTTACCCTTAGTTATGAATATCATCACTCATTTTTTTATTTAAAGAAAGATTTTAAAGAGATTCTAATGAGTTATATTACTAGTTGTTGTAGGAAAAGAAAAATGAAAAAACAAATAGTTAAGCTAAAATAAATTCATTGCACGTGTATGCGAGGTCCTTGAATGTTAGCTCACACGCCTCGTTCGTGCCAAATTCTCAAACACGCTCGTCTCCGCACACACGACACGAGCGAGAACCCTACCTCGTGAGACGCATCTCGCATGCTTCACTCGCACGTTCGATCCGATATCCCCGCCGGCCAGATTTCACCACTTTTTCGCCGCCGGGATCTCCCCGGAGCCGCCGTTCACTCTCCGGCTCTTCAACCTCCTGGATTCTCCTCATCCTCCGCCGATCCGTGCTGGAACTCCGCGACGGTCGTCGGGAATTTCGGTTCCCGACGGAGTTCTTAACGATCTAGCGAGGAGAAGACCGATCAACGAGGAATTCATTAATTTTATCACGATCTCGTAGTGATTTTTGGTAAATCTACGTAACTTCGTGCTTTTGATTACAAAATGGTTCGACATTTTGTTTTTCTTTTAAATTATTAGTATATAAGCTTAAAATGATTTAGGGAAAGAGAAAAAAAAATAATTTTTAGTGAATTAAGTAGTGATTTTAATTATTTTCCTTATTTTGTACAACAAAATTGCCTAGAAAGGCTTAATTTAATTTAGGGAAAGAGTACATTTTCACCTGGTGGTGTTATTGTGCAGCCTGTGGAATTCCTTTGTACATGGTTTTTTAGGTTTTAAATGGAGGGCATTGATAAATTTTGATGGGTTTTGACAAACTACAGAATTGGTAGGATATTTATACATTAAATTAAATTAAATTATTGAGGGTTCAGATTTCGGGTTATGGCAACTGATATGCAAAGGCTGGTTGGAATGAGTGAGGATGATGAAGAATTGGGAATGGGTGTGAAAGACGAGGATGATGAGGATGAAGATTACGAGGAAAATGGAGGTGAGCATGGAAATGCTTTACAAGTGGTAGAGTTTGATGGTAGGAGTGGGATGGGAACTGGAGCTGATGACAACAGGTTTCAGCAGCAATATGAGTTTCAAGAGCAAGTAGGCACTCCTCCGGGTGGAGGTAATCGAAGATCTAGACCAGTAGAAGAGAAAGAGAGAACAAAGCTAAGAGAAAGGCGCCGGAGGGCTATCACTGCACGGATCTTGGCAGGGCTTCGAAGGCATGGAAACTATAATCTTAGGGTTAGGGCTGACATAAATGATGTTATTGCTGCGCTAGCAAGGGAAGCTGGATGGGTGGTTCTTCCAGATGGAACTACTTTTCCCTCAAAATCTCAGGTATTACCTGTCAATTTTAAAGCTATTATTTTCTGATTCTGATTCTAATGTTAATTGAATTTTGTGACTTTTGTCTTGCATCTGGCATTATGTGCAGTTTCTCCATGAAAACAGGTATTATGACCTGATAATTTTTCCCTGTTCTGTATTCATCAAAAAACCCTTATAAGCATTTGTTTTAGAGAGAGTTCTATTGTCAAGGAAATATTTAGTTTTACGGTGTAGTGTTGACATTAACTATTGGCACTTGTCAGTTATATAGTTGAGTTCTCGGCATAGTCAAGTCAAACCTATTTGATATTTTTAAATTTCAATGGTTTTATTACCATTGTGTATCTGTAAATCTTATTACTGCTATTTATCTCCGAATTTCAGTTCTGACAAATCTCAGAAAAATACCCATATTTGAACCTTTTCTTCTCAACCATACAGGGTCAGATACCAGCTGGCGGCAATCCTGCAGTTGTTACTTCATCATCATCCCATGTGCCTTCCCAACACCCTCCGTCTGCTTCCCTCAAGGGTGTTGCTTCTGGCAATAGGAGCCCTTTAGAGTACAATGCATGTCCAATGAAAGGTGTTTACATTCCAACTCCATCTCCATCCCCTTATAATCTATCCTCAAGTTCCCGGTCTCAAACATCTATGTTAGGGGACGGAGAAGTGCAAAGAGACAATCCTCCTGTGATTGGTGGTTCAATAAATACCATTAATGAGAAGCAGGTATTGAATGAAGCCGTTTGGCCTCTTATTGATTTGTTTTAGAAATAAGTTTCTTCCGGTTGCTGTGATAATATGCTGATGGAGTGATTTGGTGGCTACATTACTGTTACTATTATAGTTATTATTATATTATTATTTCCTTACATATCGATATCAAATTTTCACTCATGCATATTAGATGCATAGCATGTTAAGTAGGCATTTAATGAAAAAATTACGTATTGAAAATATAACATCTTTATTTCTTTGTGAATTTTATCTGGCTTGTCATTGCGACCCTCTTGACCTCTTTCATATTTTTTCGACTTGTTCCATTGGATGTATTAGACCCCTTCTACTATGGCATGTGCTGCTAGGAATGGGTTGGGAAGTATAAACATAAACACAGGGTGAGGTCTGTCAGGGGTTCTAATTGAAATTAATCAGGATTTTTTGTTTGTTAAAGCTTAATGAATTGTGAGCTGGAGAAGATTAGTGGGGGGTGAACTCATTTTGGGGGAAGGAGAGCATGGGAGGGAAGGATAGATAGTGTATGGCAGGCATGAACTTAGAAGAAAAAGTGGAATGACTTTAGGCTAGAGGTTGTGTGCTTCTGCAGAACTCTAGATTTATCTTTTATTTTCCCTATTTTCTTTTATTGTAGTAAGCGCTAACCTCCACTTTGAAAATCAGTCCCTATAGTTATGAAAGATGAATGATTATCCAAAAGGGCATATTCTTCCTTTATTTTGCATATAATCTCAATATGGTGCCTTTAGTAGGTAAGTCTCTTCGCATTGATTTACATCTTTTTATCTTTTGCAGATTTTTGACATTGCATCCAGATTACCGGAACGTGATTTTGCTGGGTCCCCATATGTTCCTGTTTATGTGATGCTACCGGTAAGCTGCGATTTTACTCTTAATTTCCATTTATTTTAAGTTTTGTTTCTTGGTTTCTTAAAATGCTTGTAGTAAGTAGTTATGCTTAATATGTTGTATTCAATATACTGTTTGGAATGTTTTATATGACTGTTAGGTGAAATAAATAAATTCACATCGGAAATCATCTGCATACGTCGATTAACATTATATAACATATTTTATCTATATTATTGGCAGTTGGGAGTTGTCAATATTAAATGTGAGCTTGTTGATCCGGATGGTCTACTGAAGCAGCTGAGGGTGTTGAAATCAGCAAATGTTGATGGTGTTATGGTAGACTGCTGGTGGGGAATAGTGGAAGCACATACTCCACAAGAGTATAATTGGAATGGTTACAAGAGACTTTTTCAAATGGTGCGTGAGCTTAAACTTAAGTTGCAGGTAAGTTTTATAGACTACTTTAATCATTGTGGTTCACCCTCTTGCTGATTCAGTCGGGCTTTGATAGTGAGTTGTCTCATTTACATTTCATTAGGTTGTCATGTCTTTTCATGAATGTGGAGGCAATGTTGGTGATGATGTTTGTATTCCCTTGCCCCACTGGGTTGCTGAAATTGGTAGGAGCAATCCAGATATTTTTTTCACTGATAGAGAGGGAAGACGCAACCCTGAATGTCTTTCTTGGGGAATTGATAAGGAACGTGTTTTGAGAGGTCGGAATGCTGTGGAGGTAATAACGAGTTGTTTGTTTTAGTTGTTGTTGCTTCTGTTATCAACAACTATTGCTGTTGCTGTTGTTATTATTACTACTATTATTGAATGGGATTAGTATGAAATGGAGTATTGCTTATGCTTAATAAAAAGCCATCAGTGTAGAAATCCATAAACCAAACTTGAAGTAATCAAATCATGACGGAGCATTGTTGTCAAATATCGGCCATTGCAGCGCCATGGCATATTATGGTGGCTGATTTTTTGACAACCGCCATGGTGTTTTATGGCAGATATGTCGGCGCCGTTGCATTTTATGTCTGATATGTGGGCGCCATATGGCGCATTTTTGGCTTTCCACCTTGGTATGCAATCCACCATCGATAACATTGTGATGGGGAAGGCTTTAGTCCTTCCTATATACATATTATGGTGTTAGCCTTAAATCACACTTTCTCTGAATGAATCCATTTGAATTACTTATGAGATGTTTTTCAAGGCAGTGAGAGGAGACATGGTTTCTGTTTTATGTTATACCAATAGAATTAAGGCGTGCAATTTGTGTGTTGTACTCTTTTTTAGGTTTATTTTGATTTCATGAGAAGTTTCCGGATAGAGTTTGACGAGTATTTTGAGGATGGTTTTATCTCGCTGATTGAAGTTGGACTAGGTCCATGTGGAGAGCTAAGATACCCATCTTGTCCAGTAAAGCATGGTTGGAGATATCCTGGTATTGGTGAATTCCAGGTAATTGTTTTCTTAAATATTTCTTTCTTTTTTTTTTAATAAAAAAATCAAGGTTTTTTTCCTTCTTTATAGCATTTGTTATCTAAATCTGACAATTTTCAGATTCAATTTTTCATTGTGAGCTCCTCCTTTGCTCAAATATCTGTTTTTATAGAAAATCTTCATTGAACATCTATAAATATATAGGGACAACTGTTAGTTTGTTGGTGTTAGATAGTGTATAAGTTAAATGTTCATTATTTGCTGCCATGTATTGTCCACTTATTGTTGCGGATCCATCTCTCTTACTTGTATTCTCCACTTATTGTTGCGGATGTCCTTTTGTCTATGCATTCACCTCAGAATCTCCAATACCTTTTTGTCTATGTATTCTCCACTTATTGTTGCTCATCATCTTTCTCACTTCTGTGCAGTGCTATGATCAGTATATGTTGAAAAGTCTTAGGAAAGCAGCAGAAGCAAGAGGCCACACTATTTGGGCTAGAGGGCCAGATAACGTGGGTACCTATAATTCTCAGCCTCACGAAACAGGTTTCTTTTGCGATGGGGGTGATTATGACGGCTTCTATGGCAGGTTTTTTCTCAACTGGTATTCTCAGGCTTTAGTTGATCATGGAAACCGGGTACTCTCTTTGGCAAAATTAGCTTTTGAGGGGTCCTGCATTGCTGCAAAGGTAAGATAGTAAAACAATTGTAACGTGAAGATAGTTTTTCAATCTGTTGGAAGAAAAGCTTCTTGAATTTTTTTTCGAAATCATAAGCTTAACAAGTTTTTGCTGATTCCTCATATTTTATTAGCTATTTAGATGCTGTTTCTTTATGAATGATAGCATTAGAGATAGATATAGATAGAGTTGGGGTAACACTTATTGTAGAAAAGATGGTTGATTCTCTCTCTATTTAGGTGGTTTGGGCATGTGTAGAGAGGAGGCCTATAGATTCTATAAGGAGATTAGATCAGATGGAGGATGGCACAATTGCTAGATGCAGAGGAAAACTAAGAAAAGCAACCATATAGCCGACCCTACCTAGTGGAATAAGGCTTGGTTGCTTTATGTTCTTCTAACCTATAACATTTTCTGCTATATTATGAAAAAAATAGAACAAAAGTGTAAAATCAACGCAACATTAATGCTTGCTCTATTTGACTAGGACTCTAGGAGTTATTCATTTGTAGGTACTTCATTTGGTTTTTGCGGGTGTATCGTGTATTGTGTGGTCTTTGCAGTCTGTGATATATATTTTATTTTGAATACAGCTATCAGGTGTTTATTGGTGGTACAAGACTGCTAGTCATGCTGCTGAATTAACTGCTGGGTATTATAATCCATGCAATCGTGATGGCTATGCTGCAATTGTTGCAATGTTAAAGAGAAATGGAGTTAGCTTAAACATTGCTTGTGTTGACCTGCACGCATTGAATCAACATGAGAACTTTCCAGAGCCATATGCTGATCCTGAGCGATTAGTTTGGCAAGTTAGTATCTAATCCTTGATTAAGTTTATTTGTATCTAATTGGTTTCTTATATAAGCAATTACATTTGGAAGAATTTATTAGATAATTAGCCGTTCTATCACAAGACAGATTTGGGATGTGTCAAATACAGTTTTAGAATAAAAGCTGTATGATCTAAAATACACATTTTGGTTATACATTGCAGCTGTTGAATGCCGGGTGGGATGTTGGACTACCCGTCGTCAGTGAGAATGCACTTCCTTGCCTAAACAGAGTTGGCTATAACAATGTTTTGGATAATACCAAGCCCGTGAATGATCCAGATGGAAGGCACTTTTCTTCCTTTACATACCAGAGGCTCAGTCCACTTCTTCTTGATCGACAAAACTTCATAGAGTTTGAACGATTTGTCAAGAAAATGCATGGTAAGTTGACATTAGCAAAACAGTATCGGATGAGTTTTAATATCAGTTGACATTAGCAAGTTTTAGGGTTGATGGTTATGTCTTTTCCCACTGCAGGAGAAGCTGTTCTTGATCTTCAGGTATAGCAAGCAGAAAAGAGAATCTTGTGGAGTTTGTATTTACAGTTCCCTCTACAAAACGGTTGGGGCATCCTGATACATATTAGCAGAATAGAATTGGCACTTGCTGCGGCACATACTAGTTAATCAAATAGTTAGTTAGGATAGGTTTTTCTATGGGATCAAACTATTCCAATTAGAATCTTGATGTAAAATTTGTCCATACATTGTAACTGGGACCAGTTAGCCATTACAGTGATCTCTACAACTTTTGCACATGGCATCAATATCAGTATAGTAGTAATCTAGTAGAAAAAGAGTATGATATGCTAGTTTATCACTGCCATAAATTTGACTGGATGAACAGATGGCATGCAGGTTTTCATTGTGCATCCAATGAAAATCATGGCAAATCTTTGATATGAAAATTTAATAAAGATCTAAACTTCCATGATTACAATAAGCAATACCTTGGAATAACTCATAACAGTTATATTAAAGATCACATCTAAGCCTTTAAATGTTAATCTATAATATAAGAACATTAGTGGTTCTAGATATTACAACTCCATCCTTTTATCTTCTTTTTCCACCTCATCAAATTGATGGTAAAATCTAGAATCTTTTTCTTTCCTGCGACACTTTTAGCACATATGTACCAAAATGCCAATGTTTAAAAAAAAATTAGTTTTTGGCACAACCGTACTGCCGCACCACCCTTCCAATGGACGGCTGTGTGTTGTTTCTTTGAGTGCCGCTCTTTCAATGGGCGACAGTGTCCAGCTGAGTTTTTTTAATTTCGTGTTAACTATTGTTTTTTTATTTATTATATTTAGTTAATAATAAATAAAAAAATTATTAAATTATAAATAATAATTATTAAATAGATAATAATAATATAAAATAAAATAGTACATTAAAATAAAATAAAATAAAAATAATTATTTTAAAATAGTACTAATTAAAATAAATTACTACATTGAAATATATAATAATAATTATAAAATAAAATACAATAAATAAACTAAAATAAATATTTATTTATTCTTAAATAAAAAAGTACATTAAAATAAATGAACTAAAAATTCATATTCACCCTTAATTAATTTTGACCCGGTCGACGTAAGCGTTGGTGAGTTTCACATGCAGGAGGCTATACATTTCTGGTGGACCTTCTACGATCAACATCAACGTTTTGGGACTGTGTAGAAGGTCCTGCATTATTGTTAGGGTTCATGAATTCAGCGACCAAATCATCACTCAAATCGTCCACAATTGGTATCGCTGCCGCACTTCCATAGCTTAATCTTGTTCCCTCGTTACTTCAACTTGGTAGGTTTGAAGGTGGTATTGTGTTAGTCATGTAGGGGGTGTATAGATGTTGGTCTTGAGATGAATTATGGGTGAAGGTTTGTGAGGGGTAAAAAGAGACTTGTGGTTGGGGTGTTTGGTAGTTGTGTTCTTGTTGGGTAGGTTGAGAGAATGAGTATTGGTTCTATTGGGTGTATGATGAGGTTGGGTTTTGTTGTTGGATGTTGAAGGGGTTGGGTTAAATGATAGGTAAGGTTGATTGTAGTGTTGGCTTGGGGTATAAGGTTGTTGGGTTGGGTTGAAAGGTTGTTGGGTGTTGAATGTTTGTTGTTGGGTGTTAAATATTTGTGGTTGGGTATTAAATATTTGTTGAGGGGTGTTAAATGTTTGTGGTTGGGTGTTACAAGTCATGGAGGGGATGTTTTGGAAGTTTGAAGAAGTTGGTTGGTTACGAGGGTCCCATAAGTATTTATTTTGTGATAGATACAAATTGGTCGCAGATCTATACCAATTCATGTATTCCCTGTTGGGTTTACATTCGGTATCCATGACATTTCCTTGTAGAACAGTTCGACGACGATTTATCCAGTGTTGACGTTCTTGTCTGTTATGGTCTCTCCAATTATCGAATTTCCATTGGCCGTTCATAGTTAAAAAAAGATTAGAGTAAAAAAATGGAAAGCGATAGTAAAAAAAGGGATTAGAGACAAAACATCATCTTCCTCAAAGAACATTCGATACCCAGGAGCACAATGATGCGGTGTTTTTTCGTAATTCATCCCATACGCGGACCACCTATGAAATAAATAGTTAGTAAAAATTATAGATAAAAAGAATATATACATAAACTTTGTATACTTACTTGGTTGCATATGGAAAGTGATATGGATTGGGGTTGATCGACGTCATTCTGAGCATTCTGGACCATCCCCAAGCTTGAATCAAAACGCCACAACCAGCAAAATTATGCATATTTTTCATTGCGAATCTACACAAATTTCTGTATAGATGCGCTAAGGTAGCAGCGCCCCAACTATATCTACTTACTTGACTTAAATCTTTGATAAAAATTGAAGATGGATAGTATTACCATTAGTATCAGGAAATAAAAAACATGCAAAAAGTAATAGTATATAAATTCTAATTTTATAAATTTTGAGTTCCTCGGGAGACTCATTGGTTAGGTTCAAAGCACCATAAATTCTTTTTAGCCAGGTCATTTTAAGGCTTTGCCCATTCCTATCACCTCGTTCCAAAGGCACCCCCAATAGTTGTTCCACTAATTCATACTTAACGTTTGTGTCACCCACAACCGCTAACCCATTGACACGGAGACCAAACAACATAAGGACATCCTTAAGTATCACTGTGCATTCACCTGTGGGGAAGTGAAAAGTGTGGATTTCTGGTCGCCATCTTTCGCACAAGGCGAGAAGAAATTTGCGATCAATTCCATATTATGTTATCTTGGTGACGTGACCGAAACCTGCTTCAATCAAATACAGTTTGATAATGGCATCAGACTCTATATACTTATGTGAGCGCGGTTTGAAATTTTTTTCATCCTACAAAAAAAATATTTTAAATAACATTATTAGAATGTAACTAACTTCGAAAATAAGTAACATCATATAATTTATCTTACATAAGTAACTAACTTTAAATAAATTTTATTAGAATGTAACTAACTTTAAATGAACAATAATTAACTTACATAAGATGCAACGTTTGCAAGTGTACCGCGATGGTCATCTCCTAAGGTGAGTAAAACCATTTTGAGAGACTTTTTAAGAGTAAGAGTGGTAGTAGAATTATATAGAGATTATAATGGTAAGAATTATATAGTAGAGATTTTGTAAGATTGGTATGTAGAGATTGTTTAAAATGGTATTTATAGGAGGTTAAGATGGGTAAAAATTAAATTGTGTGTTGGTAAAAATTAAATAAGGTTTGGTAAAAATTATATAAGTGTTGTACGTGTCTGTATGCATGGGAGCAGACCACTTTAAAGCGTTTGACCGCCGCCCTTTCAATGGGCGGGACTATTACTTTTTATCTGTCAGTCGTTGCTTCAATGGGCGGCATAGGTAAATGTGTCTAACATCCGTTGCTTCAATGGGCGGCATTGTTATGAAAACCTTTAATACTTTTCAGACTCCCGTAAGTTCAATGGACGACAGGCTTTAAATTTTTTAGACAACCGCCCTTTCAATGGGCGGCAATGTTGTTCTTTCGTTGACCAAGTCTTGTGTCTCCAACGTCCAACAATTTTGTGTCTGCATGCATGGAACTTTTTCTTATATAATTTGCTTCAAATATTTATTTCTACTACTCAAACATTCATTTCTACTACTACTCAAATATTTTTTTCTATTACTTATCTTCTTACTCAAACATTTAGTTCTACTACTCAAACATTCATTTCTACTACTACTCAAATATTTGTTTCTACTACTTATCTTCTTATTCAAACATTTAGTTCTACTACTAAATATTTATCTTCTATATTCAAACAATTATTTCTTCATACTATCATCTTACATAATGTCTACTAGTCAATAATATATTGTTAATGCTCATTTCAATGGGAGTGTTGTTGTATCAGATGAAGTGGGTTTGATTTTTGAAAACACTGACATAACTCGTTTCAATGTTAATAAAAGATCTTCGTTCCAACATTTTAAAGATAGGGTACAAATGAAGGTGCAAGCTGGATCAGTGTCACAGATTACGTACAAAAATGATGTCCATTTTGGGGACCATCACTTTAAATTTGTTCCACTAAAGGTTCGTGACGACGAGGATGTTGAAACGATGTTCTCGAATCATGAACATTTTGGGTTTTAGCACATTGAATTATATATAACATTTGCACAAGTTCAAGAAACTCAAATTTCTCAGGTCATCAATCCATCCATAATTCCACTCGAAGATGTTGAAGAAGAAGACGACGAAGAAGAAAACGAGGCACAAGTTGATGATTTATATACTACTTTGTTTGAGGAAGGAAACAGTGACAACGAAGATGAACAATACATTCCAGTTGAGAATGTATTCATCCCACCGGCGCACATGACAACCCTGCCGCTAAATGTAGAAGGAACATCATTTGAATGGCCACATAATCCTCATATTCCAATGGAGGGTGACATAGAAGTCAGTAACCAATTTAAAAATAAAGTTGATTGTGTCACTGCCATTAAGCAATATCACATGAAACACGGCGTGGATTATAAAGTGATAGATTCTGACAAGAAGAGATACATAATTTGTTGCAAGAATGATTCCTGCATGTTTCGTCTATTGGCGTCCTACCGAAAAAGAAGTGACTTGTGGGAGATAGGCATTATGAACCCATCCCATAGTTGTTCAACAACTTTGTTTAATCAGGATCATCAAAAACTAACTTCGCAGTTAATGTCTCAGAAATTAATGTCTTTTGTAGACAAGGATCCTTTTATTAAGTTTAGTGTTTGCATAAGTAAAATTGTTTCTGAATACAATTTTACTCTGTCTTACAGAAAGACATGGATAGCAAGAAATAAGGCAATTGAACAGGTGTACGGTAACTGGGAGAGCTCATACAATGAACTTCCACATTTTTTGTTAGCACTTAAAAAATTTGTTCCGGGCACTGTGCTGGAAATAGAAACACTACCCATGTATACAGTTGACGGAACTATTGTTGAAGGTAAACACTGAAGGTGAGAAAAACA